CTATTCAACCTAGGACATTGACATTTAAGGCTGTTCCTTATTTTTATAAAACTTAAGTATTTTTAACTTACTCATTTGGATAGAGTCGTATCAGTTTGCTACTTTAAAAAAACAAGATAATCACAAAAACTCATTCTCATTTCTTCTTCAGGACACCATCTCTTTTTGACAAGAGTTTTTCTTCCTTTTACCTCTGCTCTATTGCTACAATTTGACACTAATTCTGTGCTTTGAATTTCCTTTCTCTGTCTTGTCAAGGCTTCTTACTTCACATTCTCATTTCTCTCTCAAGACAGCCATCTCGCTCTGTGGCTTGCCACGACTTCACAGTTTCCATGCTGGACACCTAGCTCATTTAGGTCAAGAAATTAAAACTCAGCGAAAACTTAAGTTTCATCTACATAATCTAAATGAGGGAAGACTTACAGCTATGCAGTTTAAAAACTGCCCAGTCATGGCCTTCCAAACTGAAAAAAATAGGCAACAAAACTCAAGTCAAGGCACAAATAACTGCTATACTTCCACAACACTCATTCAGGAAACTCAGCAGATTCCCTGATTTTTATAAAAACCAAATTCTATTTTAAAGTAAACATAATGTTTTCTTAAGACAAGTCTCCAGACTCCCCAGAGTAGCCTTTTAATACAATGATTATCCAGAGGAAAAGGGAAAACGAAGCTGGTGCAAGCCTGTTTATGACTCCTTCCCAACACCCCACCTCACACCTATTCTTACCCCTCCATTCCAGACTCTTCCCATCTCTAATATTTGTTTATTTACTTATGACAGAGGCACAAGATTGAGACAAGTTTGTCTTCCAGGAACCTTAAGTGAACTACAGGTCTTCTGTGGCCCCCTTTTCTGGCTATTCAATTTCAGCTGGAAATAGACAAGTTATTTTAAGTTAATGTTCATTCTTTTTCTTTTCACTTTGCTTCAAAGATCTAAATTCATCTCAAACTGTCTACCACTGATTCCACAAACTAAGGATAAATCGTCCTCACCATGCTGACTTATGATGTGGAAGATGTATTAACATAGAAGCCCACTGATCTATTAAAAGTACTACCACTTTTCAAACCCATCACGCTTTTGTATTCCTACTGCCCAGACCTTATTTCTAGCCCTAAGTGTCCACTACTATACTACACAAGAAGTAAACTTCTTAAAATACAGCCACAACTCTGGATCATATATTCAGGGCCACCTTACTAAATGGATTTTCCCTTTATATTACATCTCTATAAACAAACAGTACATCCTTATTTTACTTTATTTCACTTCCTAACATCTGTGACTACCTGACAGTATGTTTATGCCCTTTGACAATGGCCTTCTACTAGGGAAACTCTCCATGTTGACCCTTTTCTTAACCCATATATCTTCAACATCTGGAATATGTTAAGTTCTCAATACATATTCATGCAAAGAATGAACAGACATGCAGCACAGCACCAGAGCTAACTTAAAGCTAGAAAACCTACATCTAAACAATTTATACATACCAGCTATGTGATCCTCAAAAATTTTAACTTTTTAACATAACTTTCTTAGCCTGAGTCACACCTGATACAACCCTATTTAAGTCTTTCCAGCTCTATTACCCTACATTCTTGTCTAACTGAACACCTCTCCAACTTCCCCATCTACATCTCTTCTCAGTTTCATTCTGAAATCTGGAATCTCTTAATTCACTCCTGTCAGAAGACTGTTCATTCTTAAAGTTCATTTTAAGTTCTATGCTCTCTCTAAAGCTTAACAAATTGTAAGCTCTGTCAAAGGAAGGTGGAGCTCTTATTTCTATTCTTAGAAGTTGGTACAATGACTCCTGTACAGGTGATCAACCAAACAACTAATGAATCATGAGTGTATCAAAGAGCAAAGGAAGCCTTTGGTGATTCTTCTCAATTTTGTAAAATAAACTTGTGCCTTGGGCTCATAACACTTCCTATCTTTTATGGTGTTTATCATATTGTACTCTATAATGTTATTAATTTTCTTGCCTAACAGAAACTAAACAGCAATTTTCTTAAGACTAAGGGCTGTCTTGATGGTTTTCATATTCCCTATAGTATCTATCATGAATCTTTGCCATTGTTGCATTTTTTAAGTTTTATAAGATACATTAAACAATAAAATAATACAGGAGAAAAATAGGCTTCAATACACAGGTATCATTTCAATTCCTACTTTACTACGGTCACTGGGTGTTTCTGTTATGTTATCCTGAGACACTCAGGCATAGTTCAAAGATCTCATTCCAACCTCTCTAGGCTCTGCCTAACTATTGATACTTTTGAAAGTATAATAGCTAAGGTGTGTATCACATAACTACATCCCTTCTCTTACAGTGGAGATCCACTCACATCAATACTTTCACTTCACTAAACAGTCCACGTGACCTTTCTGCTCAGCTTAGACTTCTACTCGATCCAATTCCCTCCTCTGCAGTGTATGAAACCACCTTTAAAAAATCATCTTCCCGTAAGGCTTGCCTTTCTTAGTTCTGCTTCTGAAGGATGAAAAACAAAACAGTTTTAAATCTTTTTCTAAGAAGAAAAATTCCCCAGTTAATCTCAAGCTTCGGTAACCTTTTCTCCACCATCAAGATTTTTAATACCCTCTAGCACTACCGCCAAGCTTTTATTCAGGCTTCGTGGGCCCTTTCTGATTGCACAATAGCTGGTGTCTTTCCATTCAATATGTTATCGCCATCAGGTACCAAGTCCCAAAGTGTCTGGCTCTTCTTTGTGAAATGGGCACCAACTGCTGTCCTGCCTCCAACCCAGACACATGTCTCACAGATACACACTGTACCCATGCATTAGTCCACCTCCGACAGACAAGTTCCTTACACCACTCCTATTGAAGACGACTCTAAGAATGGTATCTCCCAACCACTGTTTCAGCCCAGTTTTTTTCTCGAGAACACAACCTTGTATATAGTACCTCCCTCTTTCCCCTCTTCCCCATCCATTGCCTTCTTCATGCCCCCGCCCCGCCACTCCTCCAACTAACCACAGAGGACATTATTTCTCCCAACCTGCGAAACAAGAACAAGCTGCCGCTTCCTGCGGTCTACTCACCTCCGGTCTGCCCTCACCCCCCGCCCCCCAGGTGTGCTGACTTCCACAGTCCTCTCCCGTAGCGTTCCAGCCAATGCACAGCACACCCCGTTCCCCACCGCGGGATCAGACTCCTCCACACCCACCTCCACTCCGGTCGCCGCCGCCTCGCCGGGCGCCTCTTCCCACCTCTCGCAGGCGAGCCCGAGAGTCCCAGCGCGCGCGCACACACATTCTCACGCTTCTCCAACCTCCCTTCTCGCAGCGGGACCTGCCGGCTGCTGTGGGGCTTGGCCGAGCCAGAGAGTGGGCGACCCGCCGATCCCCTCGCAGCCCCTGCCTTCCTGCCCAGGAACGAGAGGACACAGCAACTCCCCCACCACTCCGGACATACCACCTCTAGATCTTTTGCTCCAAGCCCCAGCCCCTCGCCGGCTTCCACCACGTCCTAGGCCGGCCTCAGCACTCACCGGAGATACTGCGCGCTCTGCAGGCTCATCCTCCGCCGCCGCGTCTTCCCGCGAAGCCTCCGTGGGTCTCTTAAGCTCCTCGGAGCGGCCCCGCGGCACCGCGGGTGCTGGCGGCCGCCGCCATCTTCCTCTCCTCCGGCTCCTCCTCGCTCCGCGGGGCGGGTGGGGGGAGAATGAGTGAGGCTAGGGGGAGGGAGCGAGGAAAGCTGCTCTAGCTGCGGCTGGCTCTTGGGGCGCAGGGACACTCCGACCCGGGAAGGGGGAAGGGGCGGAGGGAGGGGGCAGTGGAAAGAGGAGGGAGAATCAGAGGAAGGAAGTGGAGAGGTCCCTCTCGCGAGATTTCAAGAGCGCCGGTCCCTCGGGGTGATTTCCGCCTCTGCGCACAGGTCCCTCTTCCAATCAGCTTGGCGTGTGGCTCGTTGGCGGCGGCCGTGAGCTCTTATGGTGTTGTTTGGCGGCTTCCTGCCAATCCAGCCCTCACCTGCCGCGCAAGGGGGTAGCCCCAGCCTCACCGGGAACATCAAGCCCAAATGAACTGGGAGTTACACTTAAAGTCTTCCCCCCGTCTGTACCCGCCCCACTCGCTTTTGCTCTTCCGCCTTCCACTCCTTCACTCTTCCCCACCGGAAACACCACCCTTTCCTTCTGTAGTTCCTCTCGCCAGTCTGACAATACCGGGCTTCCCTCGCCCACTGAAGAGTGAAGCGGAGGCCTCGCTCTCGACGCGTGCCCTCCCCATGCACGCTGGGAGACTTTTGGAGCGGGTAGGGTGGAGCCCAGGAGAAAGAGAAAGGAAGCCAATCGGATTGGACGTGTAGCTGCCATGGCAACTGGAGCTGCGGTTGTATTGTCATAGTAACCGATGTGTGCCGACGGGGTGACCCTCTCCATGGCTAATGGATTTCCCTGGATTCCCCCTTAGCTTCCCGTCCAACTCAAGACCTCCCCTGTGTTAGGCATCGTGGTTCTTCTGGGCACTGAAATTCATTCCTCCCCGCTTCCCGCAGCCAGGTGGGGAAGACCCCGAGGCATTCACCGTGGGCATTTCCACCCGCCCGCGGGCAGGAGCACCTCCGTAGTTTCCGTTCAGAGCCAGGTGTGGAGAGGGCCGGGCTTATGAAGAAGGAGCGGGGCCTGAAGGCTGGCGGTGGTGGGCTGGAGCGGGGACCCCGGAGAGGGCGAGCGTGGGCCGGCTTGAGGAAGGGAGAGGGGCTTCCCCGCAACTGCCTCGTGCTCCTGGGGGCGGGATCCCATCCGGACGGGGTCCCTGAGGGCGGAGAGCGGCACCCGACAACCGACAGCCCTCCCACCGAAGGGGACATCGACTTGCCCTAGCGAGTCGGCCCCTTCCCGAAGTCCCCACCTCCGCACCCCACTCTCGAACCCTCCTCGACTGAGCTTCCGGGGAGCCAGCCTGCCTGGAGAGGTGAGGATGGAGACACCTAGAAGGCTCGCAAGTGGTTTTCAAGCCCTCAGAATCCAGGACGAGTGGAGGGGCTTACAGAGACCTCCCACCCCCCACCCAGTGGAGACCTGGCGTAGCCGAGGCAGAGCTCCAGATTCTTCCCTCGGCAACCTGCTTCCTCTCAGCTGAGGCTGCAGTGTTTCAGAAATTTGTCACCGTTTTTGGAGTCAAGGAGGAAAACACGGAATAAAATAATATCAAAAACCTACACATGTTGGAATGAAAGTCCAATAAAAGGCTAGGAAAAGAATTTTCCATTTTTAGTAAGGCAGATATTTTTGAATGTCTGCTCTGCACTTAGTGTCAGATTGGGGCTGAAACGCAGGGGTAAAGTAGGCGAGCAATGATAGGGGTATATGAGCCCTTGCTGGAGCAGTCATTAGGAATTGCCCTTTTATGAGTTTCATTTTCATGGAATCACGTAAGCTGCTTTCCCGAAACACTTTAGGATGAGTAAAGGCATCAGATCTTTGGGGAATGCAGCCCTCAGTGATAATTAAAATTCTCAATTGGTCTATTTGGGTTTGGGCTTCTGGTTCCTGCTGTCTTAGCTGAAAGAGGCGCTTTCAAGATCTTTTGCAGAAACCACACGTGTTAAGTGGGCCTGTGTTTGTTTGGAACAACACGTAGGGTCTACTTTGAAATAAGGACAGGTGATTAACGAAATAGAACATGAGCTGTCCCCGTCACGCTGCAAGCTAGCGCCCAGTATGATGCGTAAGGACGCCCGGTGTTTGCGGCAGAACCGAGCTCCCCACCGCGCCGCCTGGCAACGGGGACGCGCCGCGTGCTGACGGGAAAGAGAGCCACCTAGCGATTGTTCTTATCTCTGCATTATCATCCTGCTTTTCCTTCAACCCTGAAAGCCCAAGGATGGAATGGAAATGGCTAGTCTACATTACCTCAAAGGCCAACATTTTCTTTCCTAAATTTGCTATATTTTTAAAAATGTTAACCATTATTTTATGTTGTATAAAATAATTACAGCTTTACTAATGACCATAGTGAGATTTTATGCTGGGACACCTTTTTGGTAAACACTGCATGAGCAAGTCTCATACCCTCCTGATTCTGTGAAAATATTACTGTTTCTTCATTTTTGAAAAGAGGTTCTAAAAGGTGAATCCTTTAATTATAATGTATTTAATAGATATTGACTGAACACTTACTATGTTTCAGGTACATCCGGGACACTGAATACCACGGTGAGAGAGCGATTCAGACCTCAGAAAAGCTCATCTTCTGGTAGAGATAGTAAAATAGAGGATGAGGCGGTAAGTGAGGTATGAACACCACAGGAACACAGATGGGATCAGAAATAATAAATTTTTATTTTATAGCAGTCTTCCTAAATACTTCAAAAGATTCTTTAATAGCTTTACAATATCCCTACGAACTGGACAGAACAGTAATAACATACCTTTTTTTTTTTTTTTTTTTTTCAGAGCTGGGGATTGAATTCAGGCCCTTGTGCTTGACAGGCAAGCACTTATTCAATTGAGCTATCTCCCCAGCCCCCTACATATCTTACAGACTAAAAACAATATTTATCCTTTAAATA